TGGTGTTTCCCTGACAATATGGTTTTTCTGTGTTCTTCAAGCCATCTCGGGTATTTTTATAAGAGTAAAGTATATTTAAAATGCAATGCTAATCGACATAGCCTTTATCACCGTATAGAATAATATAAAGTAGCATGATTTCTGCCTCATTCTGAGATATGAAATCATGTCAGATCACAAAAAGAAGTTATTTCAAATATTCGACTGATGCTATGAAGTGAATTTGGAGTAAAAACATGTCATTATATGTACTCTTTGTTGGAAAACAGGTTTGTAATCTTTCCTTGTTTTTTCATGGTAACCAATTAGCAAGATAAACTAACATACAAAGCCAGTTAGGCCTACTTGACAATCAGTTTCATTCAATATATTAATGTATTGTATTACCATGTGAACTCTGATTGGAAGGTTGAGAGGTACTCATGTTTATGCAATGATCTGTTTGAATGAAGATCTCTCCTGAGTCCTGATACATTCTCATTAACTCTTTATTTGGTTAAGGAAATCTCTGACTAGTAATTATTCCAATAGTGGCTAGTATCTTTTTAAATATAACTAGTAAGCATTAGTTAGATACTAGTACTTATATTAGATACTAGATATTAGATCTCCATAGAAGTCAATGTCAAAAAAAAAAAAAAAAAAATTGTTACTAGTAACAGTTGAATAGTTACTAGTCCCTATTGAAATAAGTACTATCATAATAAATAAGTATCTTGTATCTAACAAATACGATCTAGTATCTAATAAATAAGTAGCATAATGATAAGGACTAGCATCTAATGAATAAGTACTACTGTCTATTTAATAGTTACTAGTCTCTAATAATTGAGTACTACACAGCAGTACTACAGCAGGCAATTTCACTGTGCAATCTAAAAAAAGGAATGAATGAACAGTGCACAATTCAATACAGAGTCTCAGTACACAATAACACATCATGGGCCACTGATACGCAGTACATAATATGAGCAGTGCAGTCAAAATGTTTTGAAGTATTTGATTATGTATTTATTTATTTATTGCTTTGATTGCAAGGAAAAAGGCAAAGAAGTATAGACTGAGGGGTGTTAGGTGGTCTTATGAGAAGAGTATCTAGACGATAGCCAGAAATGTTTGGATATGTCTTTTATGTCACTTTGTGTAGGGTCACAAATGTACTTTATATGAACATAATGCAAATTCTAGAACTTTAACCACACATTGAAATACAGCTCAGCTGCTTATTTGTTTCGTTTGGTGCTGGCAATCCAAACAACATTTAAAATCACGTTCATTGCAGACTAACAGGCTGTCACATTCTAAAGTGGTGGAAATGAATCCATCATTGAAATGCAGAAATCCCTGATGGAAAGGAATAAACTTAAGGTAAACGTAAGAGTTAAGCTAATGTTACATCTGTAACTCAGATTAGCAATTAGCATGAGGGTAGGAAACTCAGTAGCATTAAAACTTCCTGTTTGTTGCTCACTGAAATGAATTCCACCTTCATCACAGAAAAAACACAGAAGACGTTCTCTGCCATCATGAATGCTATGAATGCTTTTCTCATGCTTTCCTTTTTCCTGTTTATTCAGTTCATATGCAAAGGTGAGTATTTTATCGTGTGGCCTTATAACTATAACTGTATTATAAAACTAGTATTTTAAATAACAGAATCAATTACCATTATTATGCATCTAACCTAATAGTCTATAGTCTCTATGAAAAGGAGATTTGATTTGTGAGTTGTTGTTTTTTGCAGTGGATGGAGCCGTGGCGCTGCAACAGAAAATCTCACTGACCAAAGCAGAGGAAAAGTTAGCCATTATAGACTGTCATTTACACATAAGCTGCTGGGACTATATCCACTGGTATCAGCAAAAAGATCGAGAAACCTTAAAGAGAATTCTGTATGCTGACATTAATGATGGATCCGCCAAAAATGATGTTGGTTTTGAATCCATAAAATCAGAAAAGAAAGCATCAAATCATTTTGCTTTGAAAATCACCAAACTAAAAAAAGAGCATTCAGCGATGTATTACTGTGCTTGTTGGGTCTCAGGCAGCACAGTGAGCCAAAAAACTGAAGCCCCGCACAAAAATACCCCCCACAACTCTTCCTCCAAAGATAAAAACTCATGACAAAAAACATAAGGGTTAACTGGAGTTATGATAGTGTACACAACATTACAAAAAGTATATTTTTCAAGTTAAAAATATCATAATTTTTAAAATCTAAATATAATTATGAATTATACGTTTTTTTATTCTTGCTCCATTTGAGCTGAACTAACTGCCTTTTTCATATGTCAAAAATGTAATATCAAAAAAGAAAAGAAAAAACTTACTGACCTTACCAAAGAGATACCCAAACATAGTGTGAACCTGTATCAAATTTCATATATCATAAACCTCAAAGTCAAATTCAGATTAGGACAGGAAACTTCCTGTTTGTTGCTCATAGAAATTAATTCCACCTTCATCCACGATAAAAGACAGAAGCTCACTAGTCTTGTATCTGCCATGATGAGTCCTCAGATACAATTATCCTTTTTGCTCTTTATTCTCCTTATATGGAAAGGTGAGCATTTCAATGTGTGACCATTTTACCTTCATAATAATCATCATTCTATGGTACCATACATTTTTTTTTTTTTTTTTACAGAAAATCTTAGCAAAGCCAGTGTTAATGTTTTATCATTATATATGTAAATATATATATGTATGTATGTATGTATGTATGTATGTATGTATTTTTATATATTTTTTTTGCAGTGGATGGAGCTGTGGTGCTGCAACAGAAAATCTCACTGACCAAAGCAGAGGAAAAGTTAGCCATTATAGACTGTCACTTCTCTTCAGACTGCAGATATTACATCCACTGGTATCAACAAAAGGATCGAGAAACACTCAAGAGAATTCTGTATGCTGACATTGATGATGGGTCCACAAAAGTGAATGATGCTGGTGATGAGTCCATCAAATCAGAAAAGAAAGAATTAAATCATTTTGTTTTGAAAATCACCAAGCTGAAAAAAGAGCATTCAGCGATGTATTATTGTGCTTGTTGGGTCTGGAGCTCAGTTAGCACAGTAAATATAAAGACTGAAGCTTTGCACAAAAACTGCAGGGTTCCTGTCTTTATCAGAAACCACAAACTTGTCTCTAAACTTTATATAAACATACTACTGTAGCTCAAACAGTAGAGCATGGTGCTAATAACACCAATGTATTATGACAATTTTAAAGTGCTATTAGATGAAAAACTTTATAATTTGCAAGTGCAAAAGGTAATAGACAAAAATCAACTGATACTGAATATGAAAACCTGAAAAGAGAAATTGGGTTCTGATGCCGTTCTGTTCAGAAATAGGGTTCACTGTCCCCATCTAAGCTGCTCAAAGCTCATTTTCTTTTTTTTTCAGAGAAAGTGCCACATTGTGTACAAGGAAGTCAGATCTATTACCAATCGTTTTGTTTGTAAGTAGCATATTATGTTTTTAGACAAGACTTTATGTACGCTGACATAAATCTACATTTTTTTATGTTTTTGAAAGAAGTCTCTTATGCTCTCCAAGGCTGCATTTATTTGATCAAAAATAAAGTAAAAACAGTATTTCTGTGAAGAAAAATGGTACAAAAGCTGTCACTGGAGTGGTACTTTTTCAAAAGTTACACCTTTGTACCTAAAGGGTCCATATTGGTACACCTGATTAGTCCCTAAAAGGTACTTAGTACCTTTTGAAAGGGTGCTAACACCCCAGTGACAACTTTTGTACCTTTATTTTTGAGAGTGCGATTTAAAATAACTCTTTTCTATATTAATCTGTTTCAAAATGTAATTTATTCCTGTTTTGTCAAAGCTGAATTTTCAGCAGTCATTACTGAAGTCTTCAGTGTCACTTGATCCTTCAGAAATCATTCTAATATACCAATTTGCTGCACAATAAACATTTCTTATTATTTCCAGTATTATTTTAAGTGAAATGTCCATTAGAAACATTTCTGATGTATCACGTGACACTACGGTAATGGCTGCTGAAAATTAAGGTTTGCCATCACAGGAAAAAATTACAGTTTAAAATAGAAAACAGTTATTTTAAGTTGTTAAAACATGTAAAAATGTTACTAATTTTACTGTATTTTTGATCAGTTAAGTCTTGGCGAGCATAAGAGACTACTTTCAAAAACATTAAAACCACCTATGCTAATTTTATATATGTGTAATACTAAAGCACAGAGTAGATGCTGTAGAATCTGTCACATTTGAATCATGAACCACAAAACAAACTCAGATTAGCATGAAGCCCGGAAACTTAATATCATAAACCTCCCATATGACCTCCCCTCATCCCAGAATGAAGACAGAAGCTCTCCAGACACTCTCTGCCATCATGAGTCTTCAAATGCAGTTATATTTTTTGTTTCTCATTTACCTTTTATGTAAAGGTGAGTCTTCTTATTTTGAAGTTTTCAATATACCATTATTTTCTCTGTTATAATTTTCAAGTTATACACATTAACATGATATTTATATCAGCTATTATATCTTACCTAGGGCAACATACTGTTTTTAAGTCAAGTCTGATTGTTATTTTTAATTTTTTTGCAGTGGATGGAAATGTGAAAATGCAACAGAAAATCTCATTGACCAAATCTGTGGACAAGACAGTTGTTATAGACTGTAATTTTCCATCAGACTGCATTGGCTACATTCACTGGTATCAGCTAAAAGAGGGACAAACCTTAAGAAGAATATTATATTCATCAATTTCAGGTGGAGCCACAAACAATGATGCTGGGTTTGAATCATTTAAAATAGATAGGAAACCGTCAAATTTGGCTCTGAAAATACCTGAACTGAAAAAAGAGCATTCAGCGGTGTATTACTGTGCCTGCTGGGTCTCAGGCAGCACAGTAGTAATAAATATTAACACACTGTACAAAAACTCAGCAGGCTGCTTTAATCTGGAACCACAAGCCACAAGTTTTTATGATATAAAAGCCATCTGCTAAACACTGAATCAATGAATTTCATGCACTATAAATAGTGTTTGCTGATCCTGAACACTTGGGAAAAGAAGGACAAGGTTTAAAAGGGCAAGGAATGACATTTTAAATGATGAAGGACAAATGTGCTGATGAATAATAAGAAACTGTAAGCTGTAGCATTTAAGGAATCAACAGAATTGAAGTAGCTGCTCAGATAAGCAGACAAAAGGCCTTCATTTGAAATCATTTTTAAATTAATTGATTAATATTATTTTTTTACTAAAAGTTTAGTGGGTCCCCTTAGACACAGACCACCGTGTTCCCACTGTGGAGTCAAATCCCAGCTTGTTGTCCGGCCATGAGTCTGTTGGAAGACTTGTAAATAAACGATTGCAGTCCCTACTGGTAACAGAGTAATATGGCACACAGTTATTGCTGAATCTGCTCAATGCAGAAGTAATTTTAAAGTGTTTTAGCACCTCAGTGACCAAAATCAAGATTAATATTCATTTTTTTCTCTCTTAGCCAATATTAAAAATTCTACAGGGATTTTCTACAACATGAAACAACAGCAGATGCTCTTTTGCACAAGCTGAACCTTTTTGTTCAAGAACAAATGACTGTGGGTTACAAGAAAGTCTTTGGTTCGGGTACAAGACTTTATGTGACAGGTAAGAAAAAATTCATATAATTAAGGTCTTCTAGGCAGATTTTAAGCATTGTAAACTTAATTTCACACAAATTATACTTGTGTAATTCAGCTGGAGACAGAGAGAAGAATAGCTAGAATAGCAATTCCACACTGCTTAACTAGTGTGCTTGTTTGCATAAAAAATGAGAAAATATGTTAAAGTCATAGTTCACTCAAAATGAATGAATGTCATCATTTACTCCCCCTCATAACATTCTAAACATGTATGACTTTCTTCTGTGGAACACAAAAGAAGATATTTTGAAAAATATTGTTTTGCCCATACAATGAAAATAAAAAGAGGTTCAGTGTTGTGGAGCCCACTGACTTTCATTGTACAAACAAAAACAGTAGAAACATTCTTGCAAAAAATATCTTTTGCATTATATAGAAGAATAAAGTCATATGGATTTTGAATGGCATGAAGGTGACGGTGACATTATTTTCATTTTTGTGTGAACTATACCTTTAAAATAGTGTAGACCATCAGGAACAATGGTCTAAATCAATTATATACCAGGCTAGAAGGTTTTGGATTGTTTAGAAGTATTTGTAATAGACTTAATCTGAGTGGGCAACTGGATCAAAATATTTGGATCTGGAACTCGGTTGATTGTAACCGGTAGGAAACAGTGTCAGAATTTCTTCAAATGCATAAAATTATATAATTTTTAAGTAAAAACTTTGCCAGTCATCCTTTTTTTTTTGTTGCTTATTTGCTCACTGATGACTGAAGCTATGTTCAACGTGTTTCTCTCAAGGTTCACAGGTTAAGCCACCAAAGTTGTATGGATACCTACCGTCAAAAAAATACATTGACAAACGTGACAAACAGACAATGTTATGCCAGGCAAGTGGCATGTTTCCTGACTTGGTGAAATTCACATGGAAAAAAAAGAGTGAAACAGGAGAGTGGACGAATGTACCAGAGGAAAATGTTGTGGAACAGAATAACAAAAATGCAGTCACTGTGACAAGTATGATGATTATAGATAAAAACACGGCCGAAAACAGCGACTACCAATGCACTGTTGCCCATGAGGGAGGCACTGATAAACCCCAAACTCTTGAAATGAAGAGAGGTAATTTGAAGAAACTTTGATTTACTACAAATTCCATGGAAATAAAGTTGAATACAACTGATACGGTTTTAGACACAGAGAGCTTGGATTATAAATGATTATTCCTTATTATATATGAAAACCTCATTAAAACCTTAATTAAATCAAAGAATTAATAAAGAATTAATTCAGATTAAAAGTATGTTTTTATTTGAATTAAACATTACAGTGTTAACATATGGATGAAACTGTAAAATTGTATGACATTCAGAAATACATGTGTGTGTGTGTGCGTATTTAATTTTTGTGACTGTATTGTTATATTTTAGAAGACAGTAAGCCATCAACGGAATCCAAAGATGGTCAGAATCCACCAACATGTCCACCCAGCTCTGAGGGGACCATAAAAAAGCAAATATCAGGTGAATAAATGAAAAATGAATAGATAAATATATATACATTTGGATAAATATAGATACATTTGGATGGATTTTTTTTTTTAACTATTTTTGTATTTCAAAATCTTATTTCCAAGCCAAAATGTAAACATTTAAATTATATTTTTGAGAGTGTGATCATTTGTACATTTTCTTTTTATGTTTCATAAAGTAATTTAACCGACTGTTATGATTATTATAGAGTCACTGAACTATTCTGATTTAACCGATCCTATTTGTCTTAATACTTTTATTCACACTGTACCTTAATAGACCAAAAAGAAAATAAAAAAAAACGTACATTGTCAAAACATTCCTGCTAAAACACCCATCTGTGGGACGCCTACATTTACTTCACTATATTACAATTAAATCCTAATCTAATCATGACAAACTATATATCGTTGGAAAGGTCTAAGACTCCTAAATAGTTATTTTACCAATGTTTTTGTTAAAAATTATGTAGGAAAAGTAATAGATTATTTTTTGACAAGAGTGCACCTCAAAAATCTACATCATAACAGGAGTTCTGACCTTTGTCACAAAAAGTCGTCTTTGTTGCCTTTTTCTCTATCACACTTTAGAAATCATCAGAAATTATATATCAATTGAAAACTTTAAATCTCAAAATTCATCCTTTGAAACCGATTTTAAAATCAAACATTGCATTACCATGAAAATGATACATCAATATCATGTTACGAAATGTTTTCGTTCATGAATTATAAAAATGTAAGTTTGGTTCGTGCACTTTCACGTCTATGTTCCAAAAATGTGAGTGACAGTTAAGGGGTTAATTCACATGTATTGTTACCTAAGATCCTGATGTTGATTGAAAACATCATTTATGCAGATATGTTATGCGTGGTACCTATATAGTATGAATAAAATTATTAACATATAAATGTTTTTCATAAATGCATTTAACTTTTTTTTTTTTTTTACAGGAGATTCAGAGCAAATACCCAGTATGTTCCTGTTTGTCTACGCATATGGTCTCATGCTCATGAAGAACGGAATATATTTTTGTGCTGTGTCTATCTTTCTATTAAAGAGAAAAGCTGGAAGAAAGAAAGACGAAAGCTCTTAGTTTCATAAATGCATTTAACTTTTTTTTTTTTTTACAGGAGATTCAGAGCAAATACCCAGTATGTTCCTGTTTGTCTACGCATATGGTCTCATGCTCATGAAGAACGGAATATATTTTTGTGCTGTGTCTATCTTTCTATTAAAGAGAAAAGCTGGAAGAAAGAAAGACGAAAGCTCTTAGAGATTTAATGCTAAGATAAGATAAATATCAAGCAAGCAAAGGTTTATTATATAAAGCACGTTTCGCTGACTAAAGCATAGATGCATATCTATATATTATCTCTGCTTAACCGTATTGCTTTTAAATTCGTTGTCGATCTGCTTTGCACAATTTATTTTTGCACCTTTGAAATGCAATATTTAGATTTTTAAAAATGTGTAATGTACCCAAATTTAAAATGTGTTTTGTTTTTCCATTGTATTCTGTTTTTTTTGCATTCTCAGAATAAAATCTGCTCATAAAATAAATGAAATGTTATTTTTAGATGTGTAATAAAAGGAATTCTCTATAAATGCACTTTTTCAATTCTGAATAATGAAACTCTTTTAATAAATCATGCTTGTATGAGGTTATCTTAAAAATACAAATGAAATTATCATAAAAAGATGATTGCCTTTATGCATTTTATCCTAGACGTCATCAATAAATCAAAATACCAATAAAATACGGTATGTATCAGATAAGAATTTAATTAGGTGCCAATAATTCATATCAACATCATAAAAATACTATAATAATAATAATAATACTAAACTTGACTATTAATGTCTGCTAAATTACTGCCTAAAATGTAACATTTTCCGGTAACACTTTACAAAGTTTCATTAGTTAACAGTAGTTAACTGTATTAGTTAACATGAACAATACTTCTACAGCATTTATTTGATCTTAGTTCATGTTCATTTTAACATTTACTAATACATTATTAAAATCAAAAGTTTTATTTGTTAACATTAGTTAATGCACTGTGAATTAACATGAACTAACAATGAATAACTGTATTTTCATTAACTAATATTAACAAAGATTAATAAATACTGTAACAAATGTATTGTTCATTGCTAGTTCATGTAATATATTAAACTAATGGAACCTTATTGTAAAGTGTTACCAATTTTTCTATTTAAAATGTACTAAAACTGAATAACACTTTACGTCTTTATATGGTTTACTAAGATTAAAAAGAGCATTTCTTGTATCTGTTCAAAGCATTAATTACGTTTAAAGATCTAAAACCCTTGACATGAATGTGAAAACATCACGATGGTGATTGAAACTGCTGCGGTAGGAAAATGTGGTTGGGTATGTACACACCACAGGCGGAGGCGCTTACTGGAAAGAAAACATGCAGCCGTTTAACCTCAGTATGATTGGCTGATAATTTATTAGCGGCTGCAGGGTGTTTGTCTTGTTAATCTAAGCTGTTATTTGTGGGCGAGGAGGTTGCACTATCCGTGAGAGCACAAACTGACTCTCAGCTGGGGTTTCCGCTCCCCTCGCTTTCAGGCTGTAGAAACGCATGCATAAAGACTCACATTTAATAAAAGCAGCAATTGTTTTAATGCATAACGAAAGAAGAATACAATCTGCCATCATCCGGCATACTTGAGGCTTTGTGATATGTACATACTGTATGGAGATTCTCAAATTAATTTAAGAAAACCGGAGGTCCCAGGCCTGCACCAGGCACATAAGCCCTTATTAAGTAAGCATGGCACAAGTAAACTCAACAGGAAGTAGATTTCACTTACTTAAATAAGATGATTTAGGAATGCTTCCTGAAGTGGAGCCAAAAAAAAAAAAAACATAACAAATCCATGCATCATTACAAGTCATATTTCTTCATTTAAGTGCATTTCATGCAAAACTAGGCAAGTCCTTTATTTTACAAGTAAATCAAGGCTCTATCATCTCTCTGTTCATTCCAAAAACTCACAGACTGGCAGAAAACGCATTAAAAAAATAAAACAGATGGGAAAAACATGAAATCTTCACACACTGATGAGTAGCAGTGCAGACCGGAGACTATACTGCTATTCACATTTAGGTCCTCTCCAGTGATGTATGTGAGATCAGAGTTAATACACATATGGAGCTTATAGCATAAACGTGTGACGGCAGTCGTTTTGTTACACAGAAGCAGTTGAACAGTGTCATGTGAAAACAAGCTAAATGTCATGTTCAACAGTGATATCATTTGATGGTCAAGTTCAAAATACACATTAAAATCCTTCATTTTTTCAATCCATACTGCATAAACCATAGGTTTTGTTTTTTTGTTCAGTGGAAAAGACAAAAAAAATCGATTGCACTAAGAGCTTGTGTGGGCAGATAGAGACAGATAAACACACTGCTGATCATGGTGATAGTAGATCTAAGGCAGAGTGACTGTCTAGTTCTGGTCACCCATGTACAAAAACCCATATTAAGACACACGACGCGAGGTCGAGCAGCGCTGGAAGAGTTGTACTCTGAAAGTCAGCATTTAATCTGAGCTCCTAATAAAAAAGCAAAATAACAACCTATTATTTACATTATTTAGATTAGATCAACTGAGGAAGAAAAACATTTGATAAAATAACTATTCCTATTAATATTATTAATATTAATACCTGCTAGACGATGGGCTTCTCAAGATCATGTTTATCATCAAGGTCTTCATCAGAGTCTACAGAAGCAAAAGATCATATTAGTGTGATTAACATCAATGTTCGCATCAGAACATGGCTGTTGTTTGCACACAACAAACAAGCCGAAAAAAACACCAGTGAAGATGTTTTTATAAATGCACAAGGTATGTAATATTCATAAAAATATTCAAGCTTTCAATTTTTTCCTATTAATAAAGTACACATGAATCTGTTGTTTATGATGCTTTTCTAAGCAACAACTGAAAAACTGAAATAATATTGAAAAATGAATATATATATAAACGTTAAGAGTAAGTATTCATTCTATTTAAAAGCTCTGTTTACTAAGATGAACAACATCTTTCTGAAAAAAAAAATCAGCACAGTAAAGTGATCTTTTTTTAGCATGTGAATCTAAAGCATACAAAAGGCATAGAGTGATGCAAAAGACATGTGCGATTATTTAAAATGAATGCATAAAATATAAAAGGGACACATAGTGTAGCAATGTCAAAAAGAGCTTAGTTGCCCACAACGGACTGGACACCTCTGATTCAATTATCAAGAAGTGTAAAGAATGAATAGAGAAGCACAAATAAAACAAAACAAAATTTAAAAAAGCTGTCAAACTAGAAATACTGTAAATGAGAAAATCTAGAGATCTCCTGAAGATTTTTTCAGGATTCTTTAATGATGTTGTTTGGAAGATTATAAATGTCTTTACTGTCACTTTTGATCAGTTTAATGCATTTGCATGTTTGTCACACTTTGTTTCAGATCAAACAAATTGAACTCAGGTGTGATAAACCAGTTTTAACAGGGGGCCAAACACTTTTTCACACAGGGCCATGTAGTTTTGGATATTGTTTTCCCTTAATAATAAAAACCTTCATTTAAAAACTGCATGTTGTGTTCACTTGTGTTATCTTTGACTAATATTTAAATTTGTTTGATGATCTGAAACATTAAAGTGTGACAAACATGCAAAAAAATAAGAAATCAGGAAGGGGGCCAACACTTTTTCACACCACTGTTATATATATATATATATATAGGTAAAAGATAACAGTTGTATACGAATGCTTTTCTCCTCAGCTCTTGGCTGTGTTTTGCAGCCTTGATTCCGGCATATGCAGTTTGAAAAATAAATAAATAAATACAGACTCCAAACTTTTGAACAGTGTGTGTGTGTGTCTGTCTGTATATACACATATATATACACATACATATACATATGTGTGGAGTAGATTTTGGAACCGATTTTGTGTAAAAATATATCATAAAAGTGGTTTGTTTTGTTGAAACATCTTATAAGTTTATAAGGAGGCAAGGTGGGCTTTTCACCACAGGTGGTAAAAAGGATCCCCAGCATGGGGCAAAAGGCTCAAAGTATTTATACAAATACTTTAACTAAAGTGCTATGTTTAGAATAGTTTTGAATAGTATCCAAGGTAATAGTTGTTCAAAACAATAATTTTAGCAAGGTTTGTGCTGTTTTCTGTTTATTTTGATAAATAAAATAATTTATTTTTGTTTAATAAATACACTGTCATTAAAATATTCATTGTCCAGAATAAAATTAAAAAAAAATAATAATAAAGATTCCGGAAGCACTGAAGGAGAACCCATAATAATTGAATGTAATCTTACCGTAGTAACAATAAATACAATATTGTATTATATGATATGATTAATATCATATTTTTAAATATGATGGTGTTATTATAAATATGGTGATTATCTCTGAGGTGGACACCCAACTTAATATATGATATTTGCCATACAAATAATAAACTTTAGTGTGTATTACATGTAAAATTATAATGGAGCAAAATCTACAATTTATTAATAGGAAATGGTATATTTTCGCAAAGCTCTTTAATACAGCTGCAACACCTCTAAATACATTTTTCCTTGAATATCTCAAACCGCTCACCGCAGTGCACCTGAGCTCTGACAGTGGCATTTCCTGGAAAATATGTGTCTGTTAATGTTGTATAAACGTGGTGAGAGCATTATATCCCTCGTTTGTAACCGTGATCGGTTTAAATAAACAATGACTACAAAAAAATGTAACAAACAAAAAAATAAACAATACATAAACATCCACAAAATGTTGCAAAGTCACTAATCGTTTAATCAATGAACCAGACAGAACAAGTTATTACAACTTATAAAAGACATGACTGTAGGTTTCCATGTGGCCCTGAGAACCATTTCCATGCTTGTTCTGCTAGTATTGAACAGTTAGTAATTTATTACCTGCCATGGACTCAGGAGGAGAGTAGAACTGGCCTTCTGAAACGGGTCCTGGGTATAAAAGAGGTTCTCGATCTAGTGCATTTTGCACTGAAAGATGCCCTATCACACAGGACACACGTGTTAGCTAAACACCACGATACTGACATACTGTAAGAGCAAATGAGTCCCAATCAGCATAAGTTATAATGTCATCTATGTCCATTAGCCTTTAGTGATCATTGTTATGACTACTGTTTGTCGTCTCACTGTAATTAGATAATAGATTCTCACTGATTTCATCACCAGCCTCCTGGGGCAGGACTTTGAAGTCCAGCAGCCACGTCTCTATCCATGCCAGAATGAAGGAGACAATGGGCAACAAATACCCAAACGCTCCCTGTGACAGAAGCTGGACAACAGAACAACATTTTTGGGTCCATGCAAAAAAAATTATAAATCTCTAATAAAAAAGTTGAATGAAAAACATCTCATACCTTTGATACAACTACTTTCACTATTAAAAAACCAGTTGTAATTGCTGTAGTTATCTGTAATGAAGAAATGTAGAGATATGATGATCATTACATTAATCTACACAACTTTTAAAACCATACAATTATACGTTTAAGTGAAGCTTAGTCGAATTATTTTAATCGAGCAACTCATGTTAAGAACTGGACTAAGAAAAATCCCGCAAATTATTAAAAAGAATTTATAGTAAAGCAACAATGCCCTCTGGTGGAGGATGGAGAAATATAAAGTATTTAGCCACTTACCGCAATGGCCCACCAATGGCGCAGCTTACACACTGCATAGGCCAGAATCAAGGCTGCAAAGCGGAACACAGCCAAGAGCTGAGGAGACAAACATTCATACACTAACATTATCCTTTGCTTCCATATATATAACATTGATAATAAGAAATGTCTTTCTTTCTGGTTTCTTGACCACTGAAGGGAGGATCTTGTGACACTTAAGGCTGCTGAAAATTCAGCTTTGCCATCACCGGAACAAATTAAATTTTAAAAATATACAAAAACAGAAAACATTTTAAATGTGACCCTGGACCACAAAACCAGTCATAAGGGTCAAGTTTTTGAAATTGAGATTTATACATCATCTGAATAAATACGCTTTCCATTGATGCATGGTTTGTTAGGATAGGACCATATTTGGCCGAAATACAACTATTTGAAAATCTGGAATCTGAGGGTGCAAAAAATCTAAATGCTGAGAAAATCGCCTTTAGAGTTGTCCAAATTAAGTTCTTAGCAATGCATATTACTAACCAAAAATTAAGTTTTGATATATTTACGGTAGGAAATTTACAAAATATCTTCATGGAACATGATCTTTACTTAATATCCTAATGATTTTTGGCATAAAAGAAAAATCGATCATTTTGACCGATACAATGTATTTTTGGCTATTACTAAAAATATACCCAAGCGACTTGAGACTGGTTTTGTGGTCCAGGGTCACAAATTGTAATACTATTTTACAATATTACTGTATTTTTGCAGCCTTGGTGACCATTAAAGTCTGAAAACTTTCGTATGGTAGTGTATAATGTAATCAATCTTTCAGGACTGGTTTATCAACATTTCATAAATGATTTGTTACATTAAAACTTCAGTTTAAAGGGGTCATATGATGCGATTTCAAGTTTTCCTTTCTCTTTGGAGTGTTACAAGCTGATTGTGCATAGATAAGATCCCTGAAGTTGCAAAGACTAAAGTCTCAAAACCAAAGAGATATTCTTTATCAAAGTTAAGACTCTGCCACGCCCCCCTAAAAAAAAAGCATCATATGACCCCTTTAAAGAATGCGGTGAGGTAGCATTTTAAAAATGCCATCACTGTGTATTAGCATAAATCTAGACCACACAACAGCTTACAAGGCAAAGTCTGCACAGGCTAATGTCCCAAATACAGAGTTGTCTTGAAAAAATAGTAACAAGAACAACATGCTTTTTTTTCAACCCAGCATCACACTATAACAGGAACTCTCACATTTAAACATTTAAAAACAGCATTTCAGTGCACCACAGAACAACTAGATGTGTATATCAAGGAAACAAACCACTTTATAAGCATGTGACCCCTAGATAGAAGGGTTTAATAGTTCAATTCTGTCATCATGTCCTCACCCGCATGTTGTTCCAAACCTGTAAGGCTTTCCTTCTTTGATAAAGAAGATACTTTGAAAAATGTCATACAATGAAAGTCAGTGAGGTTCTTTGTTATTTTGTACGACACTGACTTACAGTATATGCACAAAACATTCTTCAGAATATATTCCTCTGTGTTCCACAGGAGAAAAAATGTCATACACATTTGGAACGACATCAAGGCAAGTAAATGATTATAACATTTTAATTTTTGGGTGAACTATCCCTTTTAGATCATTAATGCCCAGATTCACAAACAAGGCTTAACCCTAGTCCTAGACTAAAATGCATGATTGCGCTGTCTTGACTGAAAGCAACTTGCACTGACATGCCTTAAAATATGTGCCAGTGATTTGTATCAAGATGCACACCAGTAATGTTTTTTCTAAAGCACATTTAAAAAAAACTATTTAAATGTCCCAATTTAACTAAGGCCTAATCCTGGCTTAATCTAAGCCCTGTCTATGAAACCAGGCCTAAGTTTTCCTGGGCAGAAACTGTGGTTGAAAGAGCGTAAGTGAGGTCATATGTTAAGTGAGAAGAGTCATCCTTGAAAAGGGAACTGTGGGATGGACTGGCCCTAATATTTTACCACCACCAGTTTCATCATTATTCACACCTTTAAAGGCTGGTGATTTCCCTGCTAAAGTATCAAAATGTAATATATCTTAAAAAGCAGGTCCTATTTTCTTGTGCAATAGGTTAGGAATTCCCAAACTTTTTTCTCAGCCAAACTCATCTGACCTAAAATATTTACTTGAAATTCCTTCTCAAATTTTAAGGTCATATTTCTGAAATAGAGGATATTGTATAAGCCAAGCCAGTACTTACAAATATGTCAAAAAAAGATTTGTGGTAATCATATTCCAACACCTCTTTTCTCAGCTGCTCTTGTATTCCTCCATTGACCTGGATAAAGATAAACAAAAAATGTAAAAACTTATATATGCATTCAAACAAAATGCAGTGCAACTAAATCAGTATTACACTGGTGTTTTTTCACATATATTTAAAAGATGTTAAGAACTTCACATTATTAATAATATCTCGTGGAAATGTATTACTACAACATACGTTGAGCTCAATGATCCACAGCAAGGTGACAAACAAAAGGTCAAAGGTCACAAACAAGCAAAATGTTCTTCGGACATCAGAGATGCACTTCTTCTCTCCTTCATAGGACTCGATACGGGCAGAAATGGGTGTTGAGTTAATGTTGCCCACACTGCTGCTGCATTGGCTGTCCATGACTCGTCAGTACCGTCCACTCGTGTCACTCCATTCACACTCACTCTTCTGGAGAGTCAGACTCTGTAGTCATGCCTAGTTCTGAAATACATGCAAAGTGGAGGCATTTTACACAGCGATCAAAGGTTTATAGTTATTACTGTCCTTTGATCAGGACTTTGTGATGTCTTAAAATCAACAAAACCACCAAACATTCTGTACGGTCACTGAGTGGATATACCCAAAACACACACACACACACACATGGGGCTGGGTATCGTTAAAACATTTTCGATATCGATACCGATACCTTGACTTGATACCGGTTCCTGAACGATACTTTTTTCGATAGCAATTTTATGAAATCAATTTTAACAAAATTACATTATCTAAAAAAAAAAAAACTTTGGTTTTATTTTTCAGCTTGTTGATGTTTATACAATCTCAAAGACTCATCTCCTGAGCCATTGCACAAAGGAACAAAATGTAACCAACACAATAAATCAGCGCAAATAGTTTTAATAAAGCTCAAATAGTCTTCAGTTTACACATCTGTTAGGCTACATTTACACTAGTGCGTGTTCGTTTTAAAACGCATAGCTCAGACAGAATCATAATTTCTATTCATTTTCCACTGATTTACTGATGAGCATGAGCAGCTTCCAGCGCTGTCTGCCTGTGTTGTCGCTGTTCTGACTCAGAGGTAATAACATATTTAATTTCAGCAACATTACATGGCC